GGGGGCTTACAGCGATCTCTTGGGAGCATTGTGATCCTTGATGTGTTTGCGTTTCTTGCCCCTGCCTTTATTTTCTCCCTTAGGCGGCGTGTAGTTTTGCATCTCCGCGTCGTATCTCTTCTTATCTTTCTCTGCCATTTCGTGGAAACGCTTCTTCTCTTTGTCCGACATGGTCTACGAACATACGATGTAATCTATGTAATAAGCGTATTTTCCGTCCATAACGGCGGGCTAAATAAATATGCGCGAGAAAAAGGAAAAAAAAGGTCGCGCGACTCTTTTTCACTCGCAAGTGCTTTTTCGCCGGCTCTTTTTTTTCTTATTACTGTAATTTCGATTACGCCGCGAGCGAGATGAAGATTGACGAGTTAACAGGACTCCGCGTGTCAGTCGCGATTCAACTGCACTCGTCGTGTTTATCGAAGTGCAGGTACATTCGAAGTTGAAGATCAAAGCGACTCTCACGAATCCGTGAAACTTTCGACAGAACGTCAAACGTCTCTCACTCTCCACTCGCACCTCGAGCCGTGAAATCGATGCGGCAAGTTCGATCGTCTCTCCGATTAAGCGATTGCGTCTCTGTATTTTATTACGAGGACTCTCTCGATTATAGCAAAGCGAACACACATTCCGCGCCTTCTGCGCGTTAATACGAAAAGTATAAAAAAAGCATTTATCTTCAGACGATTAATTAACGTGATTCGAGAAGTGGAAGGGGGAGGGGGGTGACGTTTCATAAGCTGTTCTAAAGCTGGCCGTTTAGAAGACCTCACCTTCCATCTCATTGCACACTTTTTGGAGAATTCCCGGAAGACGATCTTCTCCTCGGGATGCTTCTTTTTATGCTCCTGACGACACGTCTGGACGAAGAACGCGTACGCTGTCATCCGTCCCCTTGGCTTCGAATCTTTTCCTCTCGGCATATTGTCCCGCTGCAGACTCTGAGCGTTATTTTGTTGAAGATTATTTTGCGGTAGCTGCTGTATTTGGTGCTGAAATCCAAGCAAACGGTCTACAATGCAAAACTTCGCCGCGGAGAGTATCGAAGTGACTCGTATGGCGCCTTTGGGCAACAAGTCATGAAAATAGTAATGGTCTTTTGCTTTTACTCTTATATGCCAAAGGAAATTTGAAAATTTGAGAATTCTGAAATAGAAATCTTCTATTTTTCCCTTTTAACGGAGACTTGAGTTTTTAAGCGCAGTAAGCTGCTAATTCGCCAGGACAACTAAGATTTTCAAATACAACAATCTGTCCCTGTATCGAAAGAAATTTAAACGCTAAATTCTTCTAGCAATCTTCTGTTTCTTTCTATCTTTTTACTAAAAGTAACGCAAAAAAAGCTTCTGTAAAACGTAAACATCTCTTATTTTTACTTTATAAAAATTCAAGTCTAAAAGTGTAAGAGGATATATCACATCTCTATGTAAAGAAAAATGAATATTCTCAGACGCGGAAACTTCTTATCCTTGTGTAGGAAAAAATGTATGTAAACGCTTCAAAATAGAAATTTTCTATTTTCAAATCAAGGAGACTTTGCGCGCGCCGCGTGCGGAGTAAGGAATACCATCGTATTACGAGAAATTCACGCGGAAGAGGATTTCGTCGCGCGTTACTGTTATCTCCGACTTGCCGAGAAGCGATCGCGAAAAATGAAGATTTGCAGAGAAGGGGCAAAATGTAAGAGCATTTGATGAACGAGCGAATTCAGCAAGTTATTCGCGCGCGTGCGAACCGAGGCGCAGTAGTTACGCACTTTACGTAATACGACTTGCGCGAGTTAATTAATAAACGACTGCTGGCCGCGATCTCACATTGACAATGAGAGACGTAACAACGCTCGCCGTACGAACGCGCGTTTTTGATTTTTGCCAAATAACAATGGTCGTTATATCGTACTAATATTACGTGTGATATTACTACAGTTGTGCATATATAATTATTGCATTGTTAGTGGTGCGTTATAACGCCGTATAATAATAACGCCATGCTTATGAATTGACGTTAAATTATACGTTATTTAAATTTCATACGTTTCGCGACTGTATCGATATACTTTTACCGTCTTTGCCGTCTTGTTACCGTGACACAAAATATCAAATACGGTAAACGGCACTATATGTATGTAAAAATATATAATCTCGTTGTGCATATACATAATAGTAATAATGAATAACACGTCTCGAGTATAAATGAAGGAAATCGGAACGAAGGTACGGTAAGCCTGCACAATTATCGTCGTGTTCATCTCAGATACGACTTTAAAGCCGAACTCGCGAACCGTAGTCCGTTTATGCTTGTTAATATGCGTATAAACGTTGCGTTTGTATATCGACTACGGGTATAGCGTTAACGTACCACATTTATACTCGCGCCATACGTACGATATACCGACCATTATTACTCGGGCTGCGATAATAATAGTTAACCACGTACCTGCAGAAATAATCGGAAATCTAGCTGACCTACGTTCGGATGTGAGATCTGCCGGCAAAATAACTACTATGTAGAATCGACATTATTATTGAGTCGCTCCATCATAAGTAATGCGGGTCTTTTGCACGTTCTTTCCTTTTTTCTTTAAGCGCGACGAAAGGCACCTTCGCTCCGCGGCGGAGGTGCCCTCTTCGTACTCGCGATAAAGATTCGGCGATAAAGCGTCTCTCTCTTCGAGAGGAAACTCGCATTATTTATGGGGTGGCCCAATATATCGCATTACATAAAATACACTTGCTGAGACTTAATTAATTAAAATTTCAGTTATCTGGAAAAACGATTCTCGTTCTACGGGACTGTGTCTCGTCTCGAGATATCGAGATATCGATATATATATATGTATATATATATATGCCACAGTCAATTTTATTTTTTGCCGCTGATAACGGCGGCCGGACATTTAAAGCTGTACACTTGAATATCATTACTCTTCTGTGCTGGCACGCCCGCTCGATCTCTCTAGTGATATTCAAGTATGTAGTTTTAAACGTCCCCGTCGCCGCCTGTATACACTCGACAATGTGATTTCGGCGAACGAGAGAAAACAAATAATAAGAAACCATATAAGAGAAAAACGATTGATAAAAATGAAACGAAGGAGAATAATAAGCGGCCCGATCGAGATTAGCGAGCAGGAAAATTTTTTTGAACGAACGAGCGCGCGCTGCTCGTTATTTTTCCCCTCTCGCTCTCCCGCGCACGCTCTTCCCTACGCAACGTTCTATGCACTTGCACGCCGCAATATGTAAAAGTGCAGCGTCGGAGAATTAAAAATTGATGCCTCGCGCGTCGCATTACGACGACGATGGTTCTCCGTGGTTCGCGTGTAGAAGTAAAATTAACGGCGCCAAGCGCGCGCGTTATAAGCGCGTAGAAACTGCCAGATGTTTACGTTGAAAGCAGCGGTTATCTCCTGCGAGTGTCTCGGCGGAAAGAATTCTCCGTACTGGTGGCTGCGATTTGCCACTGCGCGCCGAAGAAAAGGAGAAAAGAAAAAGAGGACGACGACGGAAGAGAGAGAATACTAGGGTAATAGACGACATTCCGGATCACGACACGATCGGGACCATCTCGAGGCTGCGCTCGCACACACGTTCGTCCGCGCACGCAGTAACTCTCCAACTTATTTGGAAGTTAGAGCACGTGTACTCTCACTGTCGAGGTATTACCGAGCGCGTGTTAATTAAAGCGTAAATTGCGCCCGCTCGTGTTAAAGGCTTTCGGAGTATCGGTATCGCGTACCGAGACACGTATTCCCGAATAGTTTTAGTAATAAAAAAAAAAGGGGGAGGGGGGGAAGAAAAGATGCGCTACACGCAAAATGCGACGACGCGAGAAGGGGAGGGCGGAGGCGAGCCGATCGACGAGAAAATGGTATACTCGTGAAGCACATTCGCAAATTAATTAATATTATAATATATCTATAAATGATAATACACATCAATCAATATATTATAATATCAATATAATATTATAATTACCATTATTTCTTTATTAATATCAATATTATAGTCCCTGTGTTTTATAAAGAGAAATTAGAATTGATTATGTATGTCATCGTGCCCGGGCGACATCGATTTCGAAAGTTATTTCGATTACAACTCTTTTTGTTTCTACGTTGTAATTAATATTCGTCATATTCCACTTCAGACGTCTCTTTTCCACCGTCTTCGAGAGATTTCAAGGGCCCAAGAATCCCCGAGGGATTTCCGAACGGAAGATCGCGAGAGGAATTGCGTCGTTCCTACCGCGGATTATCATCTCGAAAGTGCGTAATCGGACGGATCATTCATCACAGACTTTCATATGTGAACTTTCGTGTGTAGCCTGGCATATATCCCGAACAGGATTCCGCTTTCGTTACACTGTGTTAAGCTCCGATTATCTCGCCCGTGATCTCGCGGCGAGAGAAAATCGCACGCGCGATTCTAATACACTCGATATCATTGTAGGCATCGCGGCGATCGAAATCGAGAGATCGTCAAGGGAGACGACGGATCCACGTCGAGAGAAACCTTGATTGAAAATTCCTCCAGGAGGGAGAGACAAACCGTTACGTCCGAGGCACCCTGTAGCATCTTGTAGCTGAACATCTGCCCAAGATTTCGTCAAAGTCCGCTCGGGGAATTGGGTAATTATAATGAGCAAGTTATAAATCTTTTCCGGAAACGAGACGCGATTTTCACTCGACGTAGCATTTCACTGTCACTCCGTAATGGCAAAACTATATTCTCCACCACGCGTTTTACAGAGAATAACTTGTTTTCACCTCCTATACGTTCACTATTTTCCATGTAAATCTATGTAGATATCCTGCCGAAACCCATCGAATTTGAATTTCAAATCCGAGTGATCGATCAGAGTGTCGTACTAATGAAACCAAATAATCTCGAAATGAAGAAAAATGCGGAGTGTACAATCGAGCAGAGAGAGAGAGAGAGAGAGAGAGAGAGAGAGAGAGAG